CACGCACCAGTGGAAACACGCTTCATCGTCATATGGCTGTGGGTCATGGCACCGGAGGATCCTGGTTCTTTTTCCCACCATCCTCGGATGAACCGAATAGACGACGCAAAAATGGTCAACCTACGCGGGCGAACAGGGCTTTAGATGGCTTTAGGCTTTGCCAAATTCACATCCCAGCGACGCCACAGCAGGCGAGGTAAAAGAGCTCCGGCAGCCATGGGCCCAGCAAAGGGATGGGCGTGAACAGCAGCCTCAGCGCCGGTTCTTGTGCTCGCGGCGGGTTCCGAAGGTCAGGGGCTTTGGAAAGGGGCTTCGATCAATTTTGTTCTCTCACATTCTCATCATTCTCATCACCCAGACGCTCTGTTCACAGCCCGACAGGGTCCCTCAAAACCAGTTTTGTCCAGACCCCTCGACCCCAGAGGATTCGGGGCCGAACGGGTCGCGTCTGGGAAGTCATGGACTCTCTTCGACTCTGTCTCAAACTCCGACTCTTGGACTCCGACTCCCAATCTTGTTCTTTGTTGCTGATGTTTTCAGGGCTCTCAGAACATTGGCAGTAGATGCAGTAGTAGGTTTAGATCATCAGGGGTCTTTCTCCTGCCAGATGAATCAAAGAAGATCATGGGGCCAATCAGAGCGCTGGGAAGAATGAAACCGTTTCTGAGACTCTGGGAACAAAGAAAGCAGCTCTCACCCTGCAACGTGGACCATATCCTGCACCACGTTCCACCTGACATACACTCCCTGAAATCATCATGGAACTGGAACAAGGTTTTGGTTTGGATGACCTTTTTCCTCTCAAAACAGATGGCAGAAACCCTGGTTCTCCACGCAACCGTGATTCTTTCAGGGACATGTTTTCGACGCTAGCAGTACGGCCAAATCGATTCAAACTGAAAGGTCCCAAGCTTTTCCCACACTCGTTTTTGGTCGCTTGCTCGCACCATTTTGGGGGTCTTCTCCGCTCGCGCTCGCAGGCTTTGGGCTTTGAGGGACGATTCCCGCTCGCATCCGCCGTCAGCACCAGGTCAGGCATTCGACCCATCGAACGACATCGGTGGAATACGAAGATCACACGCAGCTGAGACCTCTTGTGGTTTTGATGGTCATGACCTGAGAAGTTGTGTGGACGTGGTGGGGAAGACGTGGACTTGCCACTCCCAAGCTTGAAGTCATCCAAAAGACTCACAGGCTCAGCGGCTGACTGAGGGGCGCTCACACCCTTGGCCAGCCATGTGTTTTTCCGTCCTCTGCGGGGATCTTTAAACTAGAGGCTCGAATCACTCCATGTGAAGTCGAGCACCAGCAGGGTCTTGCTGTGCTGCGCATGTGGGAATTGGTCTGCAGCTTGCCAATCAAAGCAAGTCTGGACTGGCATGGTCGAGTGCTTCGTCGTCTTCGCATTTGTTTGAACTCCATCTAGGCAGCTGAGGTTTGTGGATCTTCCTGGTGAGGAAAGTGTGCACTTCGCCAGCTAAACTGAGCTCATCATCCGAAGAATAACGTGATAAGCGGCCATGTTTTGTACCGCTCTGCAGGAATCCTTAAAACTAGAGGCATCACAAGGCTCAAATCACTCCATGATGAGCCTGAAGAACACCGGAGGGCTTAAAGCTTTGCCCAAAGCGCCAGAAGAGACTTGGAACCCTCGTGTTTGTCTTCAAGTGTCATCACTGGTGATACGCTCACTAACATGGAAGTGGACGTCCTGGTCCCTTAAAGAAAGAGTTTTCCTGTAGGGGATCTGTTTAGCATGGCAACTCCCAGGATCTTCATCTTGTGCTTTTGCGTTCTGCCCTGTAGTGGCTGGTTGCTTCACAGTGAAGCTCGACACACTCTGCAGCTCCCAATCTCTCGTCGCTGAAAAAGGGTGCTTTGATGCCATCCACCCAACTTTTACGGATTTGGGATGGCCAGTCCCACAAGATTCTTTGCAGTTTGATCCTCCAACCACAGAAACTACTACAGAGTTTTGGTAAGGCCTTACACAAATCACCATGTGGGAATTGAGCCAAGAGTCTTGAGGGGGGGTATACGACATAAGTATAGCCTAGCAAACAAACTATCAAGTTCATTTCTTCCAATCAAATGAGCACTGGCACAACCCCTGTCCTGCGAAACCAACACCCCAGTGCGCATTGGCACCGGGGGAGATCTTCGAGAGGCACACAGTCCTCGAGTCTGGAGAGGCACGTGGAGGACTAAGGGACGAGCCGACAGAGCTTGCGGCTGATGTGAAAGGCTTGCCCTTCAGAAAGGAGGCTAAGGCATTCAAAGCATGCTCAAAGCAATCAAGACATTCCACGTTTGTCTTGTTTGCAAACACATGACTGTCACAAGAGGGTATGCACAAGACTTGTCTGATATTCAACAGCTCACGTGTTCTAGAGTTTCGGGATGACAAACCTGGCCTTTTTTACGATGCAAACGGATGCCAAGGCACTGCATAACTGTCAAAGGTTGTGCCGTGCTAGTTCATGCCGTCTCAACCGTTCATGCCGCACATGCCGGATTCGTGCATTTTTCGGAGGCATGAATCCGTTCATGTGTGGATGCCACGTGACCTGTGTTCTTTTCTTCGTGGACATTCTGAGTCCTTTTTCTGAGGTTCCTTCATGAGTTCTCTGATCCTCAGCCTCCTGGCACTCCTCTCCCTGTCGGAGAGGCCGAGCCCCCACGCCCACTCGGCCGCACCGAGCTGTTCTCTTTAGCAGCACGGTGCCCGCAGCGCAGCAGCCTTTGCGAAAGGACGAAGCAGCTCAGCCAAATGGAGGCAAAGAGCGCACAACCCAGCACCTGGAGTGCGGACGACATGACGACAGAGGAATGTCATCGATCCTACAAAGGGAAAGAGAAATCAGAAACCAATCAATCATTTACAATGTGTTGAAGAAAATGGAACATGGACTTATGTCAAGTTCACTTGTCGGCGGATTTGACCAACCACCGCATCAAATCACGAATCGGTGACCATTCACTGCAGTGAATGCGTTGCCCTTCGATTTCGACAATCCGTCGGCTCGCTGTTCTATTTCGTGATATTTATATGACCGTATTTTCTTATGGCCGCCATGACCCTTTTTCTTCACATGTCGAATTGGTTTAAGTTTCCAGATGTTCCCTAAACCAATCCATTGAATGGGGGTAAAGGTTCATGGTCTGGCGGAGATCTGCTTTGCAATGAGGATAACACAAGGTGGATCAAATTGTATCAAAGCGAAGACCACTCATTGAAAGTTTCTGCTCGAAGCCTGTGCACTGTGCAGGTTGTTCTCCACCATTCTTTCACGTGAAACACGGTGCTGTGTGGGTCTCATATGCCTTTTGGGGACTTGAACGGGCAAGCTGACCCTTCACACCTTCGTTCGGACGGACATGTGAGGAGTCGATGATGTTGGTATCGAGTGATACCGGATGTTCGGCACATATAGAAAACATCCAGTGCTCAGCAGTGGCCTCTCTCAATCCAACGAACTGTCTCTACCAGCAGTCACCAAGGGGTGCTTAATGGAAGTTAGGGGTGCCCATTATCCACTCACTTGGAGACTAAACACCACCCCTTTGTGACTCCTGGTATACATATATATACGCTCTCCCTCTCTTCAAACCACGGACCCTCCGTCCGAGTCAACGTATCAAACATCAGACCCTCCATCCGGGGCGGCGCCTGGCTTTCCGGCGAGCCGTGCGAAGAGGCCACGCTGGCACGTGCAGATGTGAGACATAGCACCTGGATTTGACGTGCGATTCGATGAGCCCACAGGCCCTGACTAGGCACGCGATCCGACTGGGTGCGACATGGGTTTATGAAGAACCCGAAGGAGGTGTGGGATGGTGTGGGATGGTGGCTCAATAGGTCACTCAGGTTCGTTATGCGCTACCCCAGAAGTCATAGCCCAATGCGCATCGTCGGTTCGCGCAGACGGTGCAAACGGTGCAGACCTCTCTGTGCGTCCAAAAGCGCCACATGACCCACGTATCGCACACGCCATGACTTCCCAACACAGGTTGAATGACCCGAACTAGACTATCCCAGTTCGGTATATCAGGTAGCTCGGGCCCTAGTTCAGGTCGCTGGCTACCTCTCTTGGCCTTGACCGGTCCAAAAGCTGGACCTGGTCGAACAGCACGTCGCGGGGTTCCTCCGTTTCTTCCGCCGATTCATCGCGCCGGCGTCCGGTCCGAAAGGGGTCACCTCCTCATTCCCTGCTACGCACCCAAAACAGTGCTTGTTCGATGTCCAAGAAACAAACAGGAGGAACGGAAGAAACCAACCAAGGCAGCTCTCCGCGATGATATGAGACTGGAGAGCACCAGGACTTCAAATCAGTGGGCACCCCCCCCTTCCCCTTCCATGCTTCATGCACTTGCGACCAGATAGGAAATGCTAAGAGCTTTGCCCCGTTGGAAAGCCGATTCTATCTCTGAAAATTCACCGCTTTGTGATCCATCGCCACCTCTACCAGAAGCCTTTTCACCGTGACATGTCCCCCCCCCTGAGAACCACACCGTGCTGGATTCTTTCGGCCAACGACCCGCCCTCCGTTCGACCGGCGGGTTCCGCGGTATCGACGGGCCGACGCGCCGAGCCGAGCCGAACGGCGGGTTGCAGCGCTGAGCCGCCAGCAGAGCGGTGAAAAGGAGATCTCTCAAGTGCTCGAAGCACGGGCAGGACAACCTGACGGCGCGAGGAGGTCGGTCGCGGGTCTACGGCGAGGTCGGACTCGAACTGGAAGGCCGTCTTCAGGTGGTCTGGGAACTGGGAACGTCTTCAGGACCTGAAAGAACCGGTTCTTTTGTTCGTCACCAGGAGTTGGGTGCCGAACGAACGGAGGAAGGAGATGGAAGGAGGAGATGGGTGCCCCGAACGTCACGAGCCCGGAATGGGACGAAAAGCCACTCCTTTCTGACCCGGAATGGTCATGAATCTCTTTCAAAGTCCTTTCATCAATCTCTTCAGGACCTGGTTCGACCTCGTGAACCTAAGGGGTGTCTCTCTAATGGAAAAGCACCACCTCATAAAGATCGGACGTCCTAAGGGGTGCTCCAAAAGCCACCGGGGCGGCTCTACGTAGTCCGTCTTCCGCCTTCCTCCGCGCGATATTCGCGAAGCGCTGCAACGAAGCAGGCCTGACCCTGGAAGCGCTTCTGGCCAAGAACATCGCCAAGTTGATGCAGCTGGGGATGCACCAAAGCCAGCAAGCCACGAACTGCAGCGCCAAGATGGGTGCTTGTGCTCGCAAGGAGTCCTTGGGAGACAAAACAAGTTTAACAACTTGTGTTCACCAGCAGTCACAAGACGGGGTGCTTAATGGAAGTTAGGGGTGCCCATTATCCACTCACTTGGAGACTAAACACCACCCCGTCTTGTGACTCCTGGCAGTGATTCTTGGATGTTCCTGTCCCCGTCTTGTGCCACTCAAACAGCGCTTACAAAAACCACTCCCTGTTCACCCTGTTCACCCCCTTCTTCCCCACCCCCTTCTTCCCTGTAAACAAAAAGACACCTCCCCCTTCTTCCGCCCTGCGGACTTCCCCCTCGACAAAAAGAACAGAGCCCAGTCTCGATGCGAGAGTAACTCGCCACCAGATCCATCCCGACCCACAGGATCGGCGTCGTCGATCCTGCGCGCCCGCGCCGGCACGTCAGTCGGAGTCGCGAAGCCAGAGCCGGCCGCGCCGCGGGTCGCGGCGGTCTGAGACAGGACCTGTTTGGGACTGACATAGATGCTCAAGGCCACTGACCCCCGCTCAAACCTACCACCCCTGGCCTTTTCTCGGTCCAAATATGCCAGGGACTCCAGATGGTCGTGGGACTGGGAGGTGGCCAAGTCGATCAGACCGGTGAACACCCAGCGATCCGGGAACGCCAGGATGGGTCAGGGGGTCGGGACCGAGCAAGAACAGCAACGACTCCCTTTTCTGCACAAGAACCAACCGCCGACCTGAGCGCAAGCATAGACGACACCGGCACACAGGACTACCATAGACCAACCACCAGTCGCCCACGCGAAGAATGCTCCAGACTTACATGCCCATATATGCCCGGATGTCTCCGTGCCGAGTTCCAAACTGCGTCAGACCTGTCCTAACTTCGAAGCATAGGAAGTCTCCGTGCCCTGGTTCTCCGCCAACGCTTTGGCCACCGAGCTCTGCACGCACTCCTCGAACTCCGCCTGAGCTCGACCCGCCCCCAACGGAAACGGGACCGAACAGCCCGTTTGGGGGACCACGCATCGGCCCGGCGATGTCGACAGCGCTTCAGCGCAAAGAACCATGGTGTTGTCTCATGTTGCATGACTTCCTCTCGCAGACCAAAGCCGATACAGTCGGCAGTGGCGTTGTGAATTCTAGCATTCAACACTCAACTGCACTATGTCAAACAAATGATGATACAGGCCAGCAGCCAAGCCTAATTTCTTCTGAGGATCTTCAAGGCTGCGGCTAGGGCGGTCTCTGGCCGCAAGAGCCAAGTTGGGATGAACCAGGGGTGTCTAATTATAGCTCCTTAGAGGTATCCAGGGGTATCCATTCACCACCCCTAGGGGGGGCCTGGTAGAGGTCTTCTCCTGCCACCTTTCGATGTCTACAAAGAAACCTGGCATGGGCTCCCAAGAGATGACCATGTTCCTCCAGAAGCAGGTGGCGGCTATGTGTACTCCGCTTCCATGATGATTCTTTCAGCGAGTGTAATAGAAACCGTGAGGTCTCCAAGTGATTGGAGTCGACTTCTTTTTCCAACACATTTGGAGTCGACTTCTTTTTCCCACGTGAGGAACTCACCAGCGATTTAGAGGGGTTCACCGTCAACCCCTGTTCGTTTGGGGTGGAAAAGCTCTTGAAAAGAGTTTGATGGACCTGGGCGTTGTAGTCCACAAATCCTTGGTAAAACCAGCGTTGTTTCGTTGAAACATGTTGAAACACCCCATACACCCCCTATAAAAGTCCTTGCTCTGAGCATCTATCTGGGAAGCCTTTTTGGGGGGCTTCCGAGACCTGAATCCTTCTGAACGGCCCTGTGATTGGGTCTTGGGCTTCCGATTAATAGCCTTATTGTTCCGTTCGTAGCGATGCCAGAAGCCCCAATCGTAGCGGAACAAGGTTCCGTTCGAGTCGCGATGCCCTTTGTTACTGGATCTTGTCGGATCTATCAATAGCAAACTCTGACCCCAAAAACAAAGGGTGGAAGACATCCAATTCCTGTGAGTCTACTCCAACATGGCCCAAGTCAACTCCGGATGTTGACTCCAACTCCGTTTTTTGGCCCAGATACCACAGAGCCGAACCAGCTGATAACACACTTCACCACCACTTCTCGATCGCAAATCTCCACAGGTTTTCCATCCGGGTCCACATGCTTCACACTGCAACACCAGCACTTGGCCCCTTTCAACTCGAAAGCGCCTTGGTGTGTTGCGGCTTCGACTGGACCGTAGGCCCCCGGGTGCGGAGATTACGGCTTTGCCACATGCTTCCGACCGAAGGTTCTTCGTGCTGGGAAAAGAATCCCAGCTGCCAGCCATTCCATCGCAGGCCTGCCTATACTTGGGAAGCCGAGAGGCATCCACTCACTGGGATGGATTTCACGAAGGCCCCCCATAAGAACGACTGGTACACTCGGAGAACCCAACACACTCAGTGCCCATCTCCCACCGCACTCAGTGCCGCGGCGCGGAGCCGCCGATCGGCACTGTCCCAGCTGTCGAAGTGATGCCGAGTCAGCTTGAGAAAGATGTAGGTGCAGAGAACTCCCAAGACTCTCAACGTCCACAAGACGTAGGCCTCCACCTCGCCCGTGAACAAGACGTAGACAGCAAAGACCTCGGCTCGGAGCAGAGGACGCTACGCGTCCTAAGGGGCTCCTGGCATCGCTACGAACGGAGCAAGGACGCTATTGGGCCTCCACCTCGCCTGTGAAAATCCGACGTAGACAGCCTTGACTTGCTTGGGAGGCGGTCCCAAAGTCGCTTCAGTTGATCTTCGGATGAAAGATTCAGACCCGAGATCGGTTTTCTGATCAAGCGCGGTTTTCGCGCGGCCGGTCTAAAAAGAGATGTCCACTGCTCACGTTGAGAAAGCATCATGTGAAGCCATGCCCTGGTCGTGTCAAATGTAAGGTTTACAGTGGTTTCAGAGTAGATGGCACAAACCCCAAGGTGTCCTTTAGACGGGGATCCATATAAACACTATAACCCACTGACCTTGGGGGTTGTGCCATCTACTCTAGAACCGCTGTACTTGGCCTTTCCTTGGAGAAACTCGCTTTTCGGGCCATCGTGTCCATCGGCGAACTTGTAGGGAAACCACGTCGAACAGTTCCTTTTCTCGGAGTCTGCAGATGAATCGTGGCTGCCAGGGCGTTTCAACCCAGTGGTGCGTCCTTGAAAACGTATCCCACTCGTTGAAGACGTATCGAAAAGCACCCAGAAGCATACAGAGGTGCACACAGAAGCATACAGAAGCAGCATACAGAGCGACCGGCAGCTTGGAGCCTGACATGAACAATCCGATGTGGTTCCACCATCCCAAAAAACGAACTATAAGGATCCGAGTCCGCACCCTCCAAAAACAAGGGGGCCCAACCCTGCTGTGAACTACGGGGTAACTGGGGCCCCAAACCAAACCCTTAGGTTTTTGGAGGGTCCGGATCCTTAGGTGGCGAAGACCTGCGAGCCCCGAACCAAACCCCTCCACGTGTAGCGCTTGGGCACTGAGAGTGTGGCGCTGGCCAGAAAGCAAACGGATCCGAATCCCACCGGTTTCACCTCCGGCGTCTGACATGCCAAGCTGGTCTCTTTCGGGGCTCTACTCAGTTCTTGAAATATCTGTGTGAACAGAGTTCCGCGCCAAAAAAGAGGGTTCAATCTTGTGAAAGGTGAGAGGTTCTTTGAATAGTTGATCATCTTCACGCCACAGCGAAATGGGAAAATGTAGTCATACGAGTGACATCCGCAAGATACTTACTAACCTGGCACAGCGCTACAGTCATTCTACGTCAAATATTCAACACGACTAGCTTCTGAGCCGAAGAATTTGCAAAACGCAATTCATCTGGTGCGCCTGGATGCGGCCCTCATCTGGCAAATGGGTTTTCAGAAATGCTGCCAGTTCGAAGAGACACCATAGTCTCTCCACGTAGTTTTCATCCCAGACCACCTCAGGACGGACGAATAAAACAATCGGTCTTAAGACGGCACAACATGCTGTGTGTGTGAAGCCCTTGGAGTCACAGGGAATCCGTTGATTTAGTCTTCCTCATCAGCAGGGGGCTGGTTGTTCATGCAAATACCAGCCCAACGAAGAGGCTTGCA